CTCCAATGGCTGGTTGCTGCCCTGTACTGGTATTTTTTGATGGGCTGTCAAGCTGCTATTTTCTCCACATTTTTAAAAATAATATTGCATTTGATTCAATGGCCTGTAAAATCAATGAATTGTCTCAACCCTAGAAGCCCATGTTCCATTAAAATCTTATATATCCCAGTGGGCACCTTTTGATTTCTGAATGAAGCTGAATAAAACATACTTCGATTGCTTTCCCACTCCATGCAAAACATCTGCCCCCTTCCCTTTGTTTTAAAATATATATTTGTTCCTTTGTTACATGAAGATAAACTATCAGTTCTTCCTTGTTAGCAAAGTTTCTATGGAGTTAGAGAGGAAGACAAGAACTACAATGCAGACTTGTTCTCGTGTTTGATTATTATACAGTAGTGTCAAAGCAACAATGTTATAGCATCAGAACAATATTACAATAAGGAGGGAAAAGTAAAAAAAATGGGTCTGCTTTTGGGTCAAAGAAGATTTGTGTGTGTGTGTGTGTGTGTGTGTGTGTAAGGGCATCCATGTGTGCAAATATCTGGGAATGTGGAAATGCTCTTAATTATTGTCTCTGAATATTTTGCATATATCCAATTTCAGATAGTTATATTATTTTGAGCCTTAGAAGTACAGAATCCTGGTGATAAAATCAAGATGAAAAAGGAAGACAACTCTAATGTGGAGATTGCCTGGATATTCATATTAGAGGAAGCTAGAAAGCCACCTAGGGGAAAAAACCTGGAATATTTCTCATCTATGCATTGTATAGTACTGAAACAGGGAATTATCTCAATGTGCTTTCCTTCAATTTAGCATGAGATTAATTGCCCCTGATTTCTAGTAATATGGAATTGGGGGAATAGAGACCAGGAACATATAATGGGTGTTGATAAGAGTATTGATTTCTGTTCCTGTTAAACCTATCCTAGTGATATTTTGTTTTGTTTTATTTTTATATCTAGCATGAATCCTGTCCTTTCCATCTCTCTGCCCCTAATCTTTGCCTTCACTTTGGGGCAAAGTCTGGCTCTTTGTATCCCTGTTGACTATGTCATCCATGTGGAGAAGAGAGAATGTGGCTACTGCTTAGCTATCAACACCACCATCTGTGAAGGATTCTGCATGACCTGGGTAATTATGGGTAATTATGTCTTGTAAGATACTTCTGAGTCTTTCCTTATAGTCCTTCGTGAGTATATATCTGAGCATGGATATTTGGGGTTTTGGGCTGATTGAGGCCACAGTAGATGAAATGCTAACAGAAAATGAATGGAATCATGTTCTGCACTTTAGAAATCCAGAATTGTTTTTTTTTTTTTTTCATTTATTTAGGCTAGCACCAGAGTTTTATGGATTTCCCACCTGCAAATGGTGGGAAAGTGAAAATCAACTGTGTTATAAGCCTCAGAAAAGGGACACGGGCTGCAGTTGCTTATTTTTCTTTGAAGCAAATATGCAAAAAGTGTGTTCAGTGGCTGTGTGTGACCTACTGGCATGTATTTTATGCCTCCCCCATTAATGACATTGCACCCCAAACTGCAATTTTTTTTCTGCATTTTTTTTAATTTGGGGAAAAGGTGACATACTAAATTGAGTGTCTTAAGACTTAGCACTCACATGTAGAATGGAGTCCTAGACTTGACTCCTCTCCAGCTACTGACAGTTTTTCACTCTTGCTTTAAGAGGATAAATAGTGGGAAGAAATTTACAAGAATAATTTTTAATAAGTTATCTTCTATAATAAGAGAAGATAATTTGAAATTTCTTTTAATTTTACATCCCCTTTCAAGGATGATTGTTTCTTATTTTCTCAAATTGTGTCAAAAAGTGATTAATATGCAGAATACACCAGGATTTCAATGTTACCAGATGTTTAAGCTACTATTAGAGAACTGTGCTCCTTTCAATTTATTGTTGACCTCCAATACTTCCAAAATTCCTTCCTCTTTCCTCTAGGAGATAAGATTACATCAAAAGCCATTCCTTCTTATCCTAATTTATTAGGGCATTAGTTTGCAAATTGTAGAAACACTAGAACAAACAGATTCTTCCAATAAAAACAAACCAAAACGTATGTTTGAGGAACTGATTATCTCTGATAGTTACTATCTGTCCAGTGAGGTCCAGCACAGTGAATGCACTTCAGGTCTGTTTAATAAAGTAATGTAATCTTTCTAGAACAGGGGTGTCAAACTCAAGGCCTGCGTGCCAGATCTGGCCCATGGGGTGCTTAGATCTGGCCCATTCGGCCAACCTGGAATCAGTGAAGGATTGGCCCATGTGGGCCTCCCAAGCTCCATTTTCATTGGCAAAGAATTGCAGGAGGCTGTTGCAGCTGAAAACTGAGCTCGGAAGCCCATTTTTGCTGGTAGAGTGCTTGTGCCACTAGAGGCCCCACTGACATGAGTGACGTCAAGCTGGCCATGTCCACTCTGGCCACACTCAACCCAACCCCCGAGGTCAAACACAACCCTCAGAGAAATCTAGTTTGACACCCCTAATCTAGAAGAAAGTCTTAGCACTTGTCCTCTGAAACAGCATGCCCCTCCAGAGGTCTGTATGATGATGTTTGATGATGTTTAGAAAAGATGTTTAAACATTTGATTATGTTTAAAAAATCACTGCAAATGTAACTTTTTCCCCAGGCCATGCTGTAAAGCCCCTGTAGGATATTTTACTGTTTATAGAACTTGTCTTCTGGACCCTTATGAACTGCTTCATTTTTAAATTGTTCTTACTTTTTTAAAAATAGGAAGCCACAATGAGTAATTAAATAAAAATGACTAAATAACTTAATTGATGGTTCTGTGATAGAATCCCTTGAAATTTAGATTTTCGGGATAAGTCTAATTAAAAAACATTTGACTTCATTTTTCAGCCCATTTGCTCAATCACATTGATCTGACAGTCAATTCTCCAGAGTTTCTGCAATTCCTAAATCTTCTCCAAAGATGAACTTGGACTTTCTGCATTCACAGTAGGTGCTACCTCTGAGCAACTGCCCTTCCAAGCAAAGTGCCCATTCTAAGCACATTCTTTTCTAAAAGCTCAAACAGTTCATAATCTTTTTATACAGGACCAGTTTTAACTATTTTCTCATTTCAGCAAGATTGCTGTTGCTTGACTATTAGTTTGAAAAACTCCCATAATGATGAAAGGATCCTTCTAATTTCAGTTACATAGTGATTAGGAATAGCACAGTGGAAAGCAGAATCCAACTTTTTCAGGCCAGTTTTAAACAAAGTCTATTAGGAAGGCAGAATAACCTTTGGCATTTTGTTACAGGACAGTAATGTTAAGAAGCTATTGCCCCGGAGGCCAAGTGCCCTATTCCAGGATGTGTGTACATACAAGGAAGTGGTGTACAGGACCGTGATGATACCTGGCTGTCAACACCATGCTGTCTCTTATTATTCCTATCCTGTGGCAGTGAGTTGCAAATGTGGGAAATGCAACACTGATTACAGTGACTGTGTGCAGGAGGCAAGCAGCGCTGGTTATTGTGCAATGTTCTAGAAGCTACATAACTCTTGAGGTCTTGGTTCTCTGTATCTTTCACGCACAGCAACAGCTAAAGAGCAGCAACAGCTAAAATAAACAAGTGGGTAGCATGAATTTGATCTGTCCATTTATTCAAAGGCAGAACAGTAAAATATAATAGACTGCTCATTTTTGTGACTTTCATTTCTCTGAGGTTTCACAGGAAAAAAAAGAGTCAAGAATAAAAACAACCCCCCTTTTTTTCTTTTTACTAAAGTCAGAGCAAAAACTCCATGGAATGAAGTCTTAAGTTCTGCTTTCTGACTGGTAAAACTAGAGTTAAACTTCCTACTATCTCTATCTTCAGTGACAAAGAACTTAACATTTAAACAAAATTTTGAAATAAAGTACACTAACATCCTTAAATTAAAAAAAAGTCCTCTATTTGAAATGTAATCCTTAGCATGCTGCAGAAAGCTTCAGTGCAATCCTCAGAAGAACAAAATGCATATACATGGATTGTTGTTGCAAAAGTTTGAACATTTTTATTGTAGTAAAGTATGTGCGAGGCATATAATGTCCTGAAATCAGCATATAGTTCTTTAGAAAGAATGATACCTCCACACTCTTGTGCTTTCTCAGACAAGCTCAGTGATAATGTACAAATATAATGATGATCTATATACAGCTAGAATATAAAGCCTGTTAAGAAAAATGCTTAGCAGTTTATTATACAATCAACAATATAAATGGTCAGGAAATATTTTCAGCTTCCAGTTAAGTTACACTAGGTTTTTTTTTTATAGTAGTTTTATTAAATATTAAAATTAAAAAGATAAACACTAATACAAACTTAAAAAATGAATAGAAAAATAGAAAAAAAGATAAAGAAATAACTTCTTCATCACAAATATAAACATTTTTGTAACTTATTACTTTCTCTTAAAATGAAATAAGTGATCTCTTCTTCCAGTATCTCATCTCTTTATCTATAAACAAATTCTTAAAACTTCATCTTTCCATCCTGATCAACAAGTCCATTAAGGGTTACTCAATAGCTGAAAAGCAAATAACAAGAAATTTCCAAAAGTAATTAAAAAACAAATTATGCAAGCCCTGTGTTCTTAGAAGAGTCAAATGAAGTTTGGGCTAAAATGGTGTTCCCTTGACTCTCTGACCTGAAAACTCTCCTGATAATGTTCTTGCTGTCTCCTCACAAGCAACAACTGTCTGGAGCACTTGTGGATGATCTCAAGTCTTCCTTGTCAAAAGGAATTGTGAAGAGATGGTCCACTCACTGGCCCTTCATTCCACAGCAATCATTGGCTTTGCTCTTAGTGGAGCTGCCTTTGGTTCACCATTTCTTCCCTGAAGTCTTAAATTATACTTGATTCTAAATGGCACATTTTCCATTTTTATTAATGGCTTATAACTTTTTAAATAATAAATTTAAGGAATTAGTCTACTTTGCTATTTTTATATTTTGGATTAAATTATTTTGTATTAAGTTACCACAGGCACTGAATTCTTTACTGTAAGTAAAGTTAAAAACACAATCTATAAAAATTCATACACCCTTGTTCCCAATTGAGTGAAACACTAGGAAACATACAGCTGGAAAGACAGCAAATGGGTTAGATTAATAGCATCTATAGAACCCCAAGAAAAACTAAATGCCTAATTCACTTTGCAACATTTTAGCAAATATTTGGTCTCACAGATAGTTCTTTCTTTTCTTGTTATATTCATATATACAAAACATTTCCCTAGATACTCCTTCAGACTTTCACTTATCCAAAGTAATTATTCTCATTCCACTCTTAGAATTCTTGTTTCCTAAACTCAGACATGTCCCTGTTTCAGATGGTGTTTTATGACTAGTGTCTTTATAGTGACTTTGTCTTTTTCATGCTTAATAACAGAAAAAAAAACAGTTGTCAATAGACTGAGCTGCTATTGTTTCTTTATAGTTGGTTCTTGTGATTATATTTCAGGAGATTCAATGAATGAAAGTCTATGGGGACAGTTTTCCATTCTGGCATAGATTTATAAGAATTTCTCCAAACCCAATGAAATAAATCACTTGAGCTATACCAAAGAGAGGTGCAATGACAAGAGCTCTGCAACTAGCTCCCTTTAAAAAAACTGAAGGACCTTCTTTTATCCAAATCTTCCTGTGGAGACAAAAAATAAAATAAATAAGACCTAATTGGTTAAAACATTCTGCAGTGTATTACCTAAATGTATTTCAGCACATTTTAAATATTTACCAACAAGATTTCTCTATTTACACTTATCAAGTCTTTGCCAATATGTATCCCACTGTACAAAAATAAGTCTCACAAAAGAGTGGTATCATACCAAGAAGTGGTATGATTCCAACATTTTTATAAGCCAACTCAAATGTTCATGCTTTTGTGCAGAATTAATATGGAAAATTAGTTCTGAATTGTAAGATTCCACATGAATTGGCTGTGTGGCACCACCATGTCTGTACTGAATCACATAAAAGTGGCTTTTACATGTTGTAACTGCACTTGGGGCAACAACAAGATTTGTATCTACAGAGGTGTCAGGGTAAGTTAAGGGCAACTGAAAAATCAGTTCAAATGGTCTGACAAATATGTGAAGTCAATACACTGTCCTCAGAATCAAGATATGTGAACTGTTTTGTAGGCTTTACCTTGCACAATCTACAATTCCACTATAATTCTCCTCATTTCTTCCTTTGCCCATTGACTGAAGACGAGTTTTTATTACTGGAAAAAAAGTGTTAAAGACATATGTTGGTCAATTAATCACTTGAGTAAGGGATAGTTCAAAATGTATCCATTCCACAGAACTATTCTTTTATTATGAAAGCAATATTCTTCTCTATAAAAGAAACCTTTAACAAATAAAAATATAAATTAGCTTTCATAGGTTATCCTCAATAACCTTTTCTAACATGTCCTCATGAAGTAGCCCAGAGATAAACAAGTCATTCTTACCATCACAGGGGTTCACAGATACAGCTGCCACTGAGCCAGCTATGCACCCAGCAAGAAAAGAATGAAAGAAGCTTGTTCTCCCCTCCAAGGAATCTTGTCCTACTCTATTCAAATGGGCAAACAGTGGGAAATAGATGACAGAGAATGGAACATCCCTGAAAGACAAAATTTATAACTTTTTCAAGCAATGCAGAAAACTAGTCTGAAAATGAAAAAGCTTAGGAAAACATAAAATCATTACCTCAATAAAGTGGCTCCGAGACCCTTATAGAGCCCTTTGATACCATGGGTTTGTAAAAGCTCAGTTGCTATTTGAGTGGCAGATATCTTCCTTGGGATAACCACAGGTCCTACATTGTATGCTCTAGTCAGGATAGGGTTGACAGTTATGAGATTGCATCCAGAGGTGGAACAAGAAACTCGGCTCACAATTTGCTGAGATGCTGAAATGAAAATAGCAAATACTTGTTTGTTGTTGTTTTGAAAAATCTCACTTGAACTTAAATCCGAGTATTAGAATCCTGAGAATCTATTTAACTACTTGAATTATATGAGTCGGAATGCTGAATGTTTTAGAACAATTCCTAATTTACTCACAGCAGAGGAATAAAACTTTGATGAAAATATTTAGGTTTATATATCATTATGATCTGTATATGATCTTCATAATTTCAAATTCCATACTCCCTTTTTCAAATCTTTCTCCAATAGACATAAAGAAGATAATGTAACTGGCAGGATGGGGTCAGTGTATGCAGTCCCTTTTCCAATTATAGCAATTCTGTGGTTTTAGATTGCAATTATGACAAAGGATTTGCTTTTGACAAAGAAAACTTTGATCTGTGTGATTGTTTTGATTATACTTCATCAAGTCAGTATTAACTCTTAGTAACCACTTAATTTTTTCTCTCCATTAGTGATCAGTTTATTTATTCTTTATAATTCATTTTATCTTGTCTTTTGTGTCTTGAATATATTTCTATTGTATCCAACCATACAAAAAAGCACTGCAGATTTTCTATATTTCCTAATACTATCCTGCCACTTGGTTCATTATTTTATAGCATTCTGGGTTGTGTTGTGGCACTATAGCTACCATGACACAGGTTATAGTTTCAATACAGCTGAAACAATGTCTGAATTTGAGAGATGGGTACAGAGCATATTTTTTGCACTATCTTTCAAGGTAAAATGGTATAATACACTGTAGAAGAGTTTTACAGTGAAATCCCACATAGTAAGAAGATTAATTTATTTCTCAGAGATCAGTGTAATATATGGAGAGCGATCCAAGGCAACATTACCTAGTCTCCCTGCATCCTGCAGCTGGATTTTTAGCATCTCCATAGGGGTGGTGATAATGACCTGACAAACTCCAGCACCGCAACCTGCTAGCATCTCTTTAGATAAAGACAGACCTACCCTGAAAGAGAAAAAGAATAAGATTTGTCAAACATATTACTTTGAACATCACAATATGGAGTTCCAGCAGTGGGAATGGGCTGTGTAATGGAGATACACAGCTTTTCTCCAAAGGAACAATTTTTTTTTGACAAAAGAATTAAAAAAATTAATAATACAAGAACCTTCACAATTAAGCCCTTTACTTACTTCACCTTATATGTGTGGTTCTGTTTGTCTCTCTAATTGTCCCTGCTAAGAAGATGACCCTATCTTTCTTTTAAGAAGATGACCCTTTCTTTCTTTGCTCACTGTACACTTTTCTTGTCTATTTTGTGACTCCCTTCACCCTGTGTAGAGCCTTTCATGTTTCTGTACTCAAAAGGAACATGGTTGAGGATAAAACTGGGGCTTCTATCAAAAATGTGAAAATGTCTTCTCACTTGTCTGTGAATAACAATGCCCCTATAATGGTAGCATTTCCAACAATTTTAATTAACTGTGACAAATCCCAAAGAATTGCTTTCCTGATATATAGGACGGAAGTACAATATTTTCCCTTTCCTCTTTTACTTCCATTTACTTTGTGCTTGCATTATCTTGTTTCAAAATATATTATTATTTACCCCTTTCAAATATGATTGTACAACTGATCCCATTGGTGGCATTTATAGAATAATTAAATTAGTTATTATATTATTGTTATTTATTTTTAAAATATGCCTTGATTAAAAAAACCCTCCAGGGAAGTATTTGTTAAAAATATTAAACATGCACTATAAAAATATAGAACTTGAAACTAGTTTTAACATCTCAACTCAGCTATGAACATAGACTTTAATGGATGTAAGATACAAGCGATACTCTAGTATCTGAAATAACATACCCTTCCTTGGCAAGGAGGTGTCTAAAATAGTCATTAGCAGCCAGTTTGATAGCCTTCTCAGGTGTTACAAGGGTCAGGTTTACCGCTGCACCTATAAATAAACATACTTATGTTTAATGGATATAAAGTGATTGTCTTCAGTTAATGATTAACATTATTCTATAAAAAAATTTCACACCAGTCTGATGCAAAGTTAAGTTCTCATTATTATAAAGAAAAGAAAATTAGAATTAGAATTAAGAAAAGGAAGGTAATGATTGCGGAAACAATTAAAGAAGAATCTTCACTATTCACTAGAAATAAAATTCACTGTATTTTAAATTAGTGATTTTTCTTCATGTTCTAAAGAATGTAATCAATTTGATAAGATAATTTAAACAATAGCTTAAATGTTTAATGAAATGAATTTTAAAAAATCATTAATATAGTTCTATGAAACATATTTGCTTTCAGGAATGCTTGGTAGTTTATTGTAACTTTTACTACAAACTTTAATTAAAACAAATAATCAAGTAACTTAAATAGCCCACCAAAAACAAAATGATGTGTCTTGGGGATAAACACATAGCTTCATTAAAATGTTTTCTCTCCTCCCACTATCATTTATCATCTTTTATGTCCATTTTTATGTGTGTGTTGGCAACAGAAGGATTAAAAAAAACTGGGTCATAAGCCTGAGATGGGGAAATCTCCCAAAGATGGAGGGATGGAAATTAGAGTTAGATTAACTTCACAGGAGTTGAAGAAAAAATATACTTTATTTAAAAAGAAAAGGAAAAAAAACATCACTTTTTAATGTTAAGCTTTAAAAAATGCAATTATGCACTGATGAAGAATCTGAATTATGTAACTGCTTAATTAATAGTATACACCAATTGGGAAATTGGCTGAATTGAAAACCTAAAACCACAAGATTGCACTGATTTGTTACAATTGTTGCACTCTAAATTTTATCAAAACCTTTCTCGGGGGAAATTATTATCTTGAGAGATTTGGAAACCAGAGTTCTCTTGAGATGAAAGATTACATGTACACTATTATTCTTCTGAAGGTCCCTTAAACAAGCTCCTTTTGTCTCCCTTCTCTGGAGTTTTGATCTTGGTCTAGTCCAGGGCGGTCAGACTCCCGGCCCATGGGCCGGATGCATCACGTGCTGGCCACGCCCATGCCTGGTTTAGCGAAGGGAAATAAAGCCCCAATATCTCACACAATGCCACCATGACAACACAAATTTGACACCCCTGCTCTAGTCACTCCACTCCGTTAACAAACCATAGTTCAAAAAAGTTCAGTCTTCATTATTACATCATTACAATGCACACAAAGCAACTCCGTGCTATTCTTCCTGTCCATAATCAACCCAACCCAAAATATTATTCTCTTTTGAGATGAAGAAAAAAAGAAGCCTTTGCCATTTCAGCACTCTTTCAAAAAAGAGTGTAAATTCTGAGTGCTTAGGAACCAACTAAGACAAATGCTTGGAAAATGCCAGTCATTGTTACATAGGCAACTAGAGGGCAGTAATTTAGATATTACTGAATTAAAATTCCCACTTTTCCTTGCTCGTGGGCTTTCTGGTAGTTCAGGAACTTTTGGTTGACCTCAGATTCCTTACTCCTGCTGTATCCTGCTGTATCTGAACTGACACCCTGCAATCATATGTCCTTCCCCAGTGGACTCCAGTGCTATGCTCTAAAACTCTTGGAAAAGTTTTAGAAAGCAACTACTATTTTTTTGCATTTCTTTGTTTATGTATTTAATCCCTGAATAATAAAATGTTATTCACTTTTACTCAGAAATCCTGGAAACATGGCTTACTACATTAGAAATTTATTCAGAACTGCATTCTAATAAAATGACTACAACTAGCCATCAAAATTAATACTAATATTACTAAACTTACTTACCTCTATACATGCCAAAATAGCCTTCTGAACGTAAAGTTTTCATTAGACAATCCAACCTGATCAGAACATCAGTAAAAAACAATTCATAAGTTTTTATATACAATGTTTGGTATAATTTCAGCTTTTGTTTTAATATCTATTTTTCTTTCCAGTGATATCTATACATAGTTATATAGAATTAGCCAGTCCAATCTGATCAGAACATCAGTAAAAACAATTGTTAAATGTACACAGTTTGGAATAATTCCACCTATTGTTTTAACATCTGATAGTTTTTCCAATGATGTCTATCCACATAGTAAACATAATACAAAAGTGAATGCACTCTATACAAATATATTTGCTATTTTCATAAATGACTTCCAGCTAAAATACTTATATGAGTAGAAATTAGCATTAGCAACAATGAATAACTTAATGCCAGGTATGGGAGCATCTCAAGCCTTTGAGCTACAGATAATAATTACAGAATCATTCTATTAATAATGATATATTGCTATTGCCCAACCCCTGCATCAATTTTTATCCACCATGATAAAAATTACTATTTGAACAATTTATAACATAATATCAGTTCTATAGTTACAAAAACTCAAACTAAATCCTGAGCTGTTGAAGAAGTTTGTATTAGAAATAGTCAAGATTTAAAAGGGCTTTTAAAAAAATATCATCTTCAAAACAGGTTTTATTGGCTTGAGATGCTTTTCCAAAGGTCACTTACATGCTTTTGTAGACTTGCTGTCCACTTCTTTGATTCTGTAGCCTAGTTTTAACCAAGTCAATTGGAAATACACAAGTAACACCTATGATCCCAGCAGCTCCTCCGTTGATGAGTTTAGCAGGCAAACTAAACAGAAAAAAGTATAATAAAGGTATGTAATTTATAATTACAGCTCACTGCTTCTCTCTTCCCATAACCTGTCCCTTTCCTATTCCTATCCATACAAAATCAGCTGCTTTGTCCTTTGTTTTGCCGCTTAAGAGCATAATCAATAGGAAGTAGCAATAACATCTTTTATATTTCATGATTCTTGTGGAATACCTTGTCATTGCTTCGGGTTTGCTATACATTGCTATAGGTTTTTCTTTTCCCCTCTAAACTTGAGATAACACCCCAGTAAAAAAAAAAAAAAAGGTAACTATATCAATCTCCGACCTTGCAATTACTTAAACCTTATTTTCTTCCATCACTTCTCACCCTTTCGCATTTTACACAGACTTTAGGCTACCATAAACCAACATTTGATATCTTTGATTTGACATCTATTGATGTTTATATTGAAGTTCACTTTATCTTTTAAAATCTAGAGTGGGACATACCTAATCTGTTTCTCAGCCATCTTCATCTCAAAAGGAAGAATGTTCCAAGTTTTCTTTGGTCGGTGAAAATAATACAAGCTGCCGATCAGAAGTTGGTTCTTTGAAGAGACAATTCTGTCTAATCCCTGCAAACTGAACCCATACCTTAAAATCCGTTAGTTCTATAAATAATCCAGAAGTACCTCATTGGCTGTTCGAGCATAGAGGCATTTCAAATATGTCAAACCATCTCAAATTCAGTATGACAAATTGGAATACCCTCTCACAACTACTATTACACCAAATGTCATCAGTTATTATTAATATCTAGATGATTAATTTATGCCATGAAGATTTAACTGAAGATGCAATATATTACTTTTTATATAATGCCAATGAAATTATACAGGACAATAGCTCTTTGATGAATCAAAAGTCACTCAAATTAATTTAGAAACATCTTAAGACATGTTTAATATATTCCACCTCAATTAAATGAAAGCCATATTTGTGTCTGAAACTCTAGAACTTGGTAAGTTCATTTTTCCCTCTCTCCTGAAGTGTTCATGAATCATTGTGTACAGAAGTGGTAAATGTTCTGAAATGTTGCATGCCTACCAAAATGTTTCCTATCATAGAACTACCATGGCAGGAAAAGCTGCACATTCAGGCGCAGCTCATTTATTTTGATATTTATTTCCCACATCAGTTGGCAACTACATTATGTTATACACTGCTCAAAAAAATAAAGGGAACACTTAAACAACACAATGTAACTGCAAGTCAATCACACTTCTGTGAAATCAAACTGTCCACTTAGGTAGCAACACTGATTGACAATCAATTTCACATGCTGTTATGCAAATGGATAGACAACAGATAGAAAGCATAGGCAGTTAGCAAGACATCCCCAATAAAGAAGTGGTTCTGCAGGTGGTGACCACAGACCACTTCTCAGTTCCTATGCTTTCTGGTTGATGGTTTGGTCACTTTTGAATGCTGGCGGTGCTGTCACTCTAGTGCTACCATGAGATGGAGTCTACAACCCACACAAGTGGCTCAGGTAGTGCAGCTAATCCAGGATGGCACATCAATGTGAGGTGTGGCAAGGTTTGCTGTGTCTGTCAGTGTAGTGTCCAGAGCATGGAAGCACTACCAGGAGACAGGCCAGTACATCAGGAGATGTGGAGGAGGCTGTAGGAGGGCAACAACCCAGCATCAGGACCGCTACCTCCACCTTTGTGCAAGGAGGGACAGGAGGAGCACTGCCAGAGTCCTGTAAAATGACCTCCAGTGATCCTCCACCTCCAAATGTGCATGTGGCTGCTCAAACGGTCAGAAACAGACTCCATGAGGGTGGTATGAGGGCTCAATGTCCACAGGTGGGGGTTGTGCTTACAGCCCAACACCGTGCAGGACATTTGGCATTTGCCAGAGAACACCAAGATTGGCAAATTCACCACTGGCACCCTGTGCTCTTCACAGAGGAAAGCAGGTTCACACTGAGTACATGTGACAGATGTGACAGGGTCTGGAGATGCCGTGGAGAATGTTCAGCTGCCTGCAACATCCTCCAGCATGACCGGTTTGACAGTGGATCAGTAATGGTGTGGGGTGGCATTTCTTTAGGGGGGCGCACAGGCCTCCGTGTGCTCGCCAGAGGTAGCCTGACTGCCATTAGGTACCGAGATGAGATCCTCAGACCCCTTGTGAGACCATATGCTGGTACTGTTGGCCCTGGGTTCCTCCTAATGCAAGACAATGCTAGACCTCATGTGGCTGGAGTGTGTCAGCAGTTCCTGCAAGATGAAGGCATTGATGCTATGGACTGGCCTGCCCGTTCCCCAGACCTGAATCCAATTGAGCACATGTGGGACATCATGTCTTGCTCCATTCACCAACGCCACGTTGCATCACAGACTGTCCAGGAGTTGGGGGATGCTTTAGTCCAGGTGTGGGAGGAGATCCCTCAGGAGACCATCCGCCACCTCATCAGGAGCATGCCCAGGCATTGTAGGGAGGTCATACAGGCACGTGGAGGCCACACACACTACTGAGCCTCATTTTGACTTGTTTTAAGGACATTACATCAAAGTTGGATCAGCCTGTAGTGTTTTTTTCCCACTTTAATTTTGAGTGTAACTCCAAATCCAGACCTCCATGGGTTGCTAAATTTGATTTCCATTGATAATTTTTGTGTGATTTTGTTGTCAGCACATTCAACTACGTAATGAACAAAGTATTTAATAAGAATATTTCATCCATTCAGATCTAGGATGTCTTATTTTTGTGCTCCCTTTATTTTTTTGAGCAGTGTATTTTCTGCTGAGCTGCAATAGGGAATGCTCTGGCAGGAAGTCCTTTTGATCCAGCACTTGTAGATTATGAACAAGGTTGAAATGAGACTTCACTATTAGAAATATCTTGTTCTATTGTTATTATACTAGTACTTGTCCCTTTCTAAAAGACTTGCTGGCTGAAGGGGTGGGAAACCTGTTCCCAAGAAAGGGGAACAAGAGGAAAACTATCCAATTGCCTTTGGGTCACAAAGCACTTATCAACAAATTGCAGGTGACACCAATCCATCATATTTCCCAATGACATTTTTTTTCTTATTCTCTTGCTGCTGTCAAACCCTCAGAAAAATGCAGTTTTCCGAACTGGTGGAATATGCACTTTTCCTACAGAGAAAGCCCTCTGATAGCAAAGTTTTTTTCTTATTTTTTTAAAAAACTATTTGGGCATCTACTTCCCAACTGAATGACAGATACAGAAGATGCAGCTTTCCCAGCGCAACAAGCCTCTTTTGCTACGTTTTAAGAACGGTTTCGCCCCACTTCTAAAAAATAATCTGGTTTGTCTAATGCAAGAAAGCTCTCATACCCCTAAACACGATTTTCCTTGAATGCTAGCGTCGGACTTGGGAGAGGTCGTGAGATAAAAAAAATGTAATGGAAATGAAATGTGGTCGTAGAGGCGCCTGTGAAAAAGGAGACCCCATTCCACCTCGGTCTCCTTGCGTCAGGTGACGGACAAGGATTCCTTTCCCTTCCCGCTCCCATTTACTCACCAGCTGCCAGGCTGCATCTCATTTAACCACGGGATTAAAAAAGCGCCCAGTGCGTTCTCTCCTCCCTCTCCCCAGCAAAGGTGCGTCATCATTTGGCCACAGCAATTACAGCTCCTCCAATGACAAGCCTTTCCATGTTTCGGCTTACCCTTTACCCTTTTCCAAGTGCCAATTCTTTGGAAAGTCTTTATTTGATTTGTCAATCGCTTACAAGATAATAGGTATAAGCATATACATAGTTATGAATACATGAAATGGGTACATATAAGAAAAAGAAACAAGAAATATAAGAAACAATAGGACAGGGATGGTAGGCACATTGGTGCGCTTATGCAGACCTCATAGGAAAGGGGTGAGGTCAATAGTAGACAGTTTAAGGTTAAAGTTTTTGGGGTTTGGGGAAGAAACCACAGAGTCAGGTAGAGTATTCCAGACATTGACCACTCTGTTGCTGAAGTCGTATTTCCTGCAATCAAGTTTGGTGCGGTTAACCTTGAGTTGTATCTATTGTGTGCTCTTGTGTTGTTATGGTTGAAGCTGAAGTATTCATTGACAGGTAAGTCATTGCAATGTATGATTTTATATACCATACTTAGATCAGAACGCAAAAGATTGCTTGCAATTTTCCCTTTTGTTTAAACCCCACGGTAATCTCAGTGTTCCACCTGGTTCACTTCATCATCGCTGAACAATTGTGGTTCCCTCCCCCCCTCGTTCTCCACCCAGCAATTTCAGTTGCAAGTAACCTCAAATTTACCTAAGAGTAAAGCTCTGTAAACAGAAGGGTGGGGTAGGGGAGTGGGGGGGGGTAGGGGAGTCTGATAATATTGAAGTCAAAACCTGTATAGGATTACTTGGTACTGTGATTTTTGGTCTAATAAAAGCATTGACTGCATATTGCTGTTGGAATTTTTGTTATGGTTTCCTCATTGTGAGATACTGAATGTTTGCAAACACTTATTTTCCATTATAAGGTGGTAATTCTAATGTAAGGGTTCATAATTTTATTGACAAAAAACCCAGTCACATAGATTTTGGAACGTTTATGATATTCAACATGTTCTCATTCTGAGACATAGTCTTTATGGTTTATATTGCCTCAGTGATGGCTGGGTTATGCCAACAGTTCCAACTCATTTTCTACCACTGGATGGAAAATCAGTAGTAATATGGAAAAAACTTCCTGCTTCCAAAGTCATGACATCTGGCAAGTGTGGTGAAGATATTTAAATCTTCCCTCCCAACAGCTGTATATTCAGAAGCTGCCACTTGGTTGTAAATTTTGCTGTGTTGAGCAAGACTGTGGGCTTAATGTTTAATAAATACATAACGTAAGCAACTTAAACAAAGACCTTGTGTAATAATTAGAATCTCGGTAATTACAACCAGATCTATAAGCCTTGCTATTTCAAGCAGTCACTATTTTTTGGGGGGGGGAGGGGGAATGTGCTGTTGGAAATTTTTACGGTTTGGTGCATGTAAACTCTTGTCTGTTCTTTGCCACTGCCACCACTTGCCAAATAATGAATGGCTCAAGTTCCTGAATATTGTGAATCATCCAGACCAGGGGTGTCAAACTCACGTCTTCATCACATGACGTATCACAACTTTTTTTCCCTTGCTAAAGTGGGCATGGGCGTGGCCAGTGCATGACGCATCCATTCCACAGACTGTGAGTTTGACAGCCCTGATCCAGACTAAGCCTTCATATAGGCAACTTACTATAATTTTCTGATTTTCAGAGAAATGCTACTCCCCCCCCCCCCGTTTTTTCTGGCTTTTACTGGAATAGGTAACCTGGTGCCCCAGAATTCCATTTATAACCCTGAGCCTTCACAATTGGCAAAGCTTAAAATGTTACAAATATTAGCAGGCTTAAAATAAATCTGTAAATTTCATCCTTTAAACTCATCCTTCCTTTCAAATGGAAATTACTATTCCCGCCCACTGCCGTGATTTCATTGGAGCAGTGGTCATACTCCAGTGGGCAGTGGAGTAGAAGCAAGGTCCCCAGTCAAAAATGGTTGTGCCTCTCTTTTAATAGTTGTGTTATCCTTCGTTTTAAGACAAATTTTAGTTTCAGTATGGAAACAGAAAATATACAAAGATGTAAAATGACAAAAGATATATGAAGTAACTGATCTGTGGGGGGGGAAATACAATCTAAACAATATTCCCTCTCCGAATAAACATTCAAGATGTCTCAGGGAAAAATTCTTCTTTACATTATACATTGTAATTTTTGTAATATATTACAGTTTCTAAGGAAAAGAAATTCTTTGAAGGTAGCTTTTTAAAAAATGTATTCATAACAAACACAATATTGAAGCCAATATTTGTCTAAAACACTACAAAAGTTAAAAAGTATCTATCCCAAATACTAACATTTGACTTCCAGCCAAAAAAGCCCAGGCAGAGCAAGGAGTTATATGATAGCCTCAGATGAGGAAAGAGCAGAAGCTGACACAGAAGATTAAAGAGCCATCTGTGAGTAACGATATACTCAAGTAGATTATTAAATTAAAAAAGCAATGAGTTTTCATCAATGCCTGATATAGTCAACTGGTTTCTGCCAGTTTTTGACCCTGGATTGGGTGTATGTTTTTTTGTTCCACTGTGAAAATCTGGAATAGATTACACATTCAGGGAAATCTGGATATATCAGTAAAAGTGGCTGTGGTTATGTGGAGTCTTGGGATTCGGAGGCTTATCATCTTTATTTCTGGGTGGGGTGGCACTTCCCTAGACAGAGCCAATGCACAACTTGGGGTTTCTTCTAGATGCATGATTCCTGCTCAAAGAGTTGTTGGTAGTTGTAGCTAGGAGAGCCTTTATAAAACTTTGCATGGTGCACCTAGTCATTTCCCATTTAGATTATTGCAATGCATTCTACATTGGGCTACCCTTGAAGAGCATTCGGAAGCTGCAATTGCTCCAGAATGCAGTGGCACAGACAGTTTCGGAGGCCCCTAGGGTGACACATGTAACACCACCACCAGCACTGGCTAGCAATCTGCTTCTGAGTATAATTCAAGGTATCGATTATTACTGTTCTGACCCAGCCTTAGCAGAAGCAAGAAACAGACTGCTTGTCACAAAAAATCCCTCTTTATTTATCTCCTGTGAATTAATTGCATTCACCCACTGAAAATTCCAAGCAATAGTCCTTCAAAGAGTTAACTACAGTAAGAGGCCGTATCAGTTCCTTGCAATAATTGCAAGGCCTTGAGCTTCCAGCCGAAAGGTTGCAAATTAAGTTCTGGCAAGCAGTCTCTATGCATGAAACACAATGAGCAAATATTCAGAAATATGAACTGTTATCTCCTATGACCACCACTCCCCTTTCCTTCTATTTATTCCCCAGCCAGGGAGGGGTCATTCAGCACCCACATGTGCTTTGTTTCCTGAGTGGACTCCTTGTCCTCCTTTGTTCCTCTCTCCTAACAGCTCTGCGCATACGTGCATATGGAACAGGCCCAGCTGTTCTTCCTCCTCACTCATTTTAGCCTCCAAAGGCAGCTGCCATTCCAGTGGCTGGGAAATGTCGAATGGCCCTGGCTCTATCTCTGTGTCTGACACAGGGCATCCATCAGAGCCCTCACCAGACTCCAGCACTGGCCAAAGTTCCTCCCCAACCTCCTCGTTGTCCGATTCTGCCGCCAGCTCTGCTGGGAGCTGGGGGGCCACAACAATTACCTTTAAAACCCTTTATGGCATAAGTCAAGGATATCTGTGGAATAATCTTTCTTGAATGGAATTGGCACACTCAGAAGAGTCTGACTGCAGATCCCATCAGCTAAGGAATTTTGGCTGGTGGGATCCAGGAAAAAAGCCCCACCTCTTTTAGATTTCAGGAAAAGCCTTAAAACCTGGCTATGCCAAATGGCAAGAAGTCCCTGGCTAGAGATGGTCGATACACTAACAGAGAAGGCACCCTACCTCTTTCCTCCAAACCCTTGTTATATACTTGTTTTAATTTTTAATCCATTTTTATATTTATAATCATTGAATGCTTGTTTTCTCTTGATATAAACCTCTCAGAGTTAAACCATGAGATGGGCGGCAAATAAATTTGATAAATAATAAAAACAAACAAACAAATAAAAAATACAAAAATATATTTAGATCAGGGCTGAACTGTGGAGTCCTTGGTGCTCTGTGAGCTTGGTTGCTTGCTTGCAGATATTTCATTACCCAACTTCAGGGGTGGGATTCTACCAGTTCACACCTATTCGCTAGCATTCTAAGCAGTTCGGAGAACCAATTGTTAGAAGAAATTACTGGCCTAATCCTGTAAGGAAGGCCGGAAGGAAACATTCTGGTGTTGCTTACAGAAACTGCCTCTCCTTATTACATTCTTGGCAGGACTAGACTTCCTGTCTCAGGAACGACTCTGGAGTTTTTCCCCCTCCTTTGCTGGTACTTTGCTTGTGTGGAGTGACCCTTCAAAGTTACAATGGCACTGAAAAAAGTGACTTATGACCATTTTTCACACTTATGACTGTTGCAGCATCCCCACAGTCATGAGAGGCCAGGCGAGAAAATGCATGCCTCGATGTGAGTGATATTGAGTTGGCCACACCCAGCCAATAACATGACCACCAAGCCATGTCCACCCAGTCACATGACCACCAAGCCATGCCCACCATCTAAGCCACGGCCACAGAACTGATTGTTAAAAAATTTGAATCCCACCCCTGCCCAACTTGGTAATGTCTTCAATGCCAGAAGGGAGTGGGGTTTGCTGTTTATATACAGTAGCTTGCAATGAGTTAGGGATGTTTTCTTCAATATCTGTATAGAATATTTAAGGGTACCTTAAAACTTGCAGTTTTTAAAAACCAATAAAATTATTTTCAAAAAAACAACAACTTGCAGTTGGGTGGTCTACCAAGCTCCATTTAACAAGGCATTCTATAAGTACAGAGTTATAGAAAAGGCTCATTTTCTTCTTTTAACGTAGGAGTTTTTAATGGTACTGTAGATAGCAGCAAACAGAATTTTCTGCCTTCTTATAAGCAAGGCAAGATAAAAGAATAATTATTTCTGATCTTAAGGTAGGTGGACAGGTTGATACCAAACAATATAAATGAAAAATGATTAACAATCTTCTAGGAAGTGTAGAAAAGTGTGTATATACAAGTTTATTTCCATGGTGAGTGAAACATTCCAATTACAATTATATGCCTCTGTTACCTACATATTTGAATTCTAGTAGGAAGAAACCATGAGAAACTTCTGCTATTAGTTCATGACTTCTCTTTTTTGTCGATTATAAATAAGAGTGTTTTATATTAACCTCTGTAGACATTTGTCATTTTATAGATATAATGTATGTTGAGGAACCATTCATTTGAAAAAGAAGCACACAGCTTGACTTCTTAAAATAATCGGTGTATTTGAGGGGAATTGTGCCACAATTTTCTTAAGAAAATGGCAAAGCAAAACATTCAGGTAATTTATGTTGAAAGAACAAAGATAATAAATGTAGCACACCTACACCTTAACTAGTCTAAAATGATGTTGCCCCAATACTACAAGTAAAAACAACCAGCTCATTGTCATTTTGAATTTACAGGAGAGCAATCAAAATGAAATTGTCAGAATAAAAGCTTGAAATGCCTGTGGGGATCTTGCACAGCTCTATAGCATATTTATCATAACACATCTGCTCTCCCCTAACTTGTCTTTCAGCACAGCACATTATATCTTAGGAGTCCTGGTGGTGAGATAGTTAAAATAAAGTATTGCAGTCTAACTACCCTCAGACTGTAGTTCAGTCCTAACACGCTCAAGGTTGACTCAGCCTTCCATCCATACAAGGTCAATAAAATGAGGAACCAGACTGTTGAGGACAACATGCTGGCATTGTAAACTGTTCAGAAAGTGCTGTAGAGCACATTGGGGCAGAATATAAGCCTATGTGCTATTGCTATTTCTATCCTCTTTCATCCCCAGAATATTATCTTTTATGGCAGAATACAGTGGATATATCTGAGAAAGGAAACTGCACATGCGACACATCTTGTAAAGTAAGCTAACAAATACCCCCACTCATTATTTTTTATTCAGATTATTTTTATTAGATTTTTGCATCAACTTCAGTAGAGAAACAATGACAAAAATGCATTAAGAAAACAGAATATGTTTCAATAACATCAATTGCTAATAACATTTACACAATGATTACATGGGAAAGATGCTTAGTTCCCCCATGAAAACAGCTTGATGCATGATGCTGCTAGACAGCAGAAATATCAGAAAGGAGTATGTTTATTTACATTTCTATCAACATTTGGAGAATTAATGAAGTCTTTTGCACAAATTTCAAAATACACATTTCAAGGAGTGGAAATTCTAGTTATGTACAACTACTGCAACAGAAAGTAATGTATTATTAAATAAAATAATGGACTCCACAAAGGAAATCTGCAGAGTAAGCATACAGCTATCTTCAGATGCTGTATCTTTCTGGTCTTGCTTGATCCATGCATAATTGCTGGGAGGAAATGAAGCCCAGTTTTCCAGCAGATATAATCCACTACTCCTTAAAGACAGTGAAAGGTCTGGAACTCAATATAATAATTCCCAGAGTTACTGAGAATTTGTATTAAGCAGGACAGAGCATCTATTAGATGCATAATGTGCCCATGGCTTTATAAAGAACAAAACTCGGACAAGCTGCTATTCAAAAGAAGGTTTAGTAAGTGCTTTTAAAAGGCTCCTCAATTTATTTGCTTTTTCTCCTATAATAAGGCACTGCTTTACACATTTGCAGTGTCATAGTGCTGAGGTAGCCTATATATCTATAGGTGTAGGTATAATAAGTGCTGTTTTTTTCCTGAAGAACTTTGGAAGAATCTAACCCTACAACCTCCACATCTTTCTAAAACTGCTGCCTCTAGTATATTTATAATGATAATTTGTTAGAATATAGAAAGACTGTATTCCTTAACACAGCTGAGAAAAAAAAGGAGAATGTCAAATTTCAGTCAATGAGATAATAATTCAAAGGGTGCATACCTTACAAAAATCAAAACAGCATCCAGTAGTGAATTATCTGGAATATCTATATTGTATCACATAAACTGGAAGAGAAGCTGTAGGCTAGGTCTCATGGCTTTGGGCCATTCTTAGCATGTCTGACTTGGTCCTCTCAATGAAACAACTCTGAAAATTTAAATGCCAATAGCATAGATACATAATTTACATACCATAGGAAAAAAATGTAGCCCAAGAATCAATCCTGGCCAACATTCAAGATATGATATCTTGGAGATGTAATTCAATGTAACGGACTCCCGCACCAAAATGACACTGGAAATTGCAAGATCAGGAGAATAGAGCAATGGTGTTTTTAAAGGCACTGGTAATATTTTTTTGACACATAAAGAATATATTTAATTCTGACCTGTATGTCAAACACATATTCTTTATTATTTTTAGGAGCAGATAATCTTAAGACAAGTGTTAACAATCATATTCATAAAAATAGTGTGTAATTTATGCAAGCAAGGAGATGGGAACTCACTTCAATAAACTTCATGTTTGATTTCAATTTCAAAATCCTGCTGATAGAATTGGTATTTTGTCCAGTTCCTCAAAAGGCACTTAAAGATAAAGAAGCAGCCAAACAATAAGGGATAACGTTTTGGAAGTAAGACTAGTTTCTCCAATAACATGAGTGCAACAACAACATTTACCATATACTGTATATATTTAAAGAAGCAATGGCATGTATGTATGGAGGAAGGTCTCTGCTGCTGTTTTTCCATTAACAGACAGTGCATGTGTTTTCAATCCATCTTCATAGCTATCATATTCCTCTCCCTGCCTTCCCATCCTGGTGTTTAAGCCACAGCTTACTTATCAGCATTGTTCAGTTAAGGAGGTCTAAGGTCTACAAAATACAGTCATTTTATGAAAATCATAAAAGGTCACCAGCAGACAATTTGGAACAATTTATGACCTGGTACTTGCTCAGTATTAGTATTTTTGGGCTAGTACAGGTAGTTGGTGTACTTTCCCAGCATAATAAAGGAGAATATTTGTAGTTCAGGGTTCACATGAGGGGTCCTTGGTGCTCTCTGAGCTTTCTTGTTTTCTTGCATACGTTTCATTATCTGAACTAGGTAACATCGTAAGTGCACTGATGATGTTATCTAGTTTGGGTGATGAAACAGCTGAAAGAAAACAAGCAAGCTCAGAGTTTCCCAGTATAAAAATGCAACTACCAAAAACAAAACAAAACCCAGGGTTCTCTTCTTGCCTGTATTTACAGCAACAGCTTACCCATCTCTTCTAAAACCCAAATGAAAAGAGAAAAACAATAAAAATGAAAAACAGGAGCACAGATTAAATAAACTTTGTCTTCTTCTGGAATATTTGGAACACAGAAGATTTCTCAAAGTCTTTCCCAAATAATTTTCCAAACTTATCTATACCAATTACATAGACTGACATGAAGCAACTTCCCAAAGACATCTGAAAGCTGGAACATAGAATGGGAAAGTAGTGCAACAACATTGCCATATGCTGATGCGTGATTGAATGAGCCCTCAGTCTGCATGAAACACAGGATGGCAAACAGAAGAAGCAGGAACAAAGCAGAGCTGAGGGTTGTAGGATATCTACAGAGACTCAGAAAGTACTGATTTTTCCAATGTTTTCACATCCTGTTTCCATTTTTAGATTGGTTCTGGTCTCATTTGAGAATGGCTGGCATAATAATGGAAGAGATGGCCTGTTCTTAAGGACATTTTACAGGTAGTCCCCATCTGACGACCACAACTGAGCCCAATATTAGTGTTGCTAAGTGAGATATTTGTTAAGTGAATTTGCCCCATTTTATGACCTTTCTTGCCACAATTGTTAAGTGAATCACTGCACTTGTTAAGTTAGTAACATGGTTGTTAAGTGTATCTGGTTTCCCCATTGACTTTTCTGACTTTGTCAGAAAGTCACAAAAATCATACGACCCTGGGACACTGCAACTGCCATAAACACGAGTCAGTTGCCACCACCTGACCATGGGGATGCTACAACAGTCATAGAAGTATGAAAAAATGGTCATAAGTCACTTTTTTCAGTGCTGTTTAACTTCAAATGGCCACTAAATGAACTGCTGTAAGACTAGAACTAACTGTATTTAAAATAAACCCTAACTTTATGGGGAAATCACTAAAGTAAGTTCCATTTTAAATTCTTCAATTTTCAAAAAATCATTTTTAAATCAAAAAGCTAGCAGAAATTGATTTCAGAGTCTTAATTTTATGATAGTTCATACCAATGACATTTTTAAAGTTAACAATTATTACATATTTATTTCTGTTTCTGTTAAACTGCAAATTCCTGGTAAGAACTACTTGCAGAACTGATGAAACAGTTTCTTAAATAACCAGACAACCAGACAACCAGTTGAGTAACATTTAGTTACTCAAACCTCTAGTAATGTCTTCTCCATTAAGAGATCCCCACCAGGAGCTGCCAGCATCCAATTGGTCTCAAGGGCAGTTGGTGAATTAGGCATTTGATACTTTTATTTAGGTATATCCCCTATCACTTGAGTTATTTTCTAACGGGTTCAAATAACTTATCTGGGCAAGCAGTAGAATTGAAATTTGTTGGAGAGATGGGAGTATACACGCAATAAAAGGTTGAGAGAATGCAGGGAACAATTCACACAACTTGGGGCACTTGCCCCTCTCTGTCTTTGGCATACATATTTACACACACACTTGAGTAATTCCTTTTTTACAACCCTGTAATCCCTTAATTCGGGTAGAGTCAGGCAATTGGATGGAGCTAAGCATTTACTGGCCAGATGCCTTTCCTGACATCTAAGTAGAGTTCTCAGCACACTGAATTTCAAATGAAGAGATAAAAAGGCTTCCCCTGAAATTATATATGCTTTAAACATATTTTGATGAAAAATGTGCATGAAAAACATAATTAAGACAGTGTCTTATTAACAACTGAAAATTTCCTAACGTATTGTTTTAGATGGCCTATCTATTTAAAAGGAAATTAAAGAACTATTTAAAAGGAAATTAAACAACTGAATAAAAAGAGACAGACTGAATTATTGCTTGAGTTCTGATTCCTAAAATGATAGCTTGTCAGGAAAGGGCTATTTAAAAGTTCCCACAATGCACTTTCCATTTAAGTCAGTGGTAGAATCGCATTGATTGTAATACAGTATATTATGACTGCACCACAATAATTTCCCCGTCTAGCTTAATTTTGCAAAATTATTTTTAATGTAATTTAGCAGAAATAAATATAAATAATACAAAGAGGTTTTTTAAGAGTATTATATCATTTCTACATTTATCCAATTTTAAATAGCCATGCCATGACTGGATAAAAGTTTGATGTTAAAATAACATGCAATAATTAGATTTTTAGAGATAATAAAAATGGTGGTGTATTAAAGTACAGCTGCTCACTTCTCAATGTTTTAACTTTAGTTCTATAGCCAGAACACCCCAAAACAGGGTTTTAATTTTAAGACATTTTGGCATGTGCTGTACACATTTCTGGCAGGAACAAATAGCTTTTCTTTGAGCATTAATTGGCTGCACTGACTTCTATCAGTCTGAGAACATAGAAAAAGCAAAAGACTGACCTCTGAAGGTTAATTTGTCTGGTATCACTTTTTTTTAGGTACAGGATGTAGGACAACTTTAAACACGTAGGGTTTCTCATCTTTCAATATCTGCTTCATTCCAAATGTGTTAGTGCCCACAGTTCAACTAGAAGTGTGAAGCTTGGCGTGAATTCTGTGCCTGGGATGGTTGCATAACTGTCACCATTACTGGTTATTGTTCTTGACATCATTAATGACAACTCCTCCTTATTTTTAAATGTAATGCTGAATATTTGTTCAGGGTCTTCAGGGACTGTCTGTATTCTCTTATACACATAATCCTGTTCTGAAGTACTTGTCTCATGCTTTTGAAGTTTGCTTTGAACTTCAAAATGCCACACAGCTGCCTTGCATTATTTGTGGATGGATATGTTATTTTAAGGACATTTCTTTTAAACACACAAATATGCATACACAAATTGAGCTAATTTTTACCCAAGCTTGAGAAGTATTGATTTCAAGGAAAGCACATGGCTAACTTTGACTGGAACATGAAAACATTTATAAATATTATTTGTATATTAGGTATGTTCCCTATTGTGTAAAGCCAGCATGCAATTGTTATAACAACTAAAAGGTTGCAAACAGCATGATGGTTATTATGGTCCCTGCAGCAAATAACTAAACTGCATTTCTAAGGGCACTAATGAAAGAGGATGAACAGAAAAGGATTTTTTATCAACATACTTTAACGGATATGCTACAATGGCTTGAAAAGATATGGTGTGCATTTGGGGACTGAGTAATCATCATAATAACCTTATAAATAATTTTGGCATCAGATTTAGATTATGTTACAGTAAGTCTTTTTGGTCCATATTAAAAATAATTAGGACAATAAATACTAAATAGCATTTGGAAAAAAACCCAAGCAAGAAACAGTTTTCTGGGTAAAATTAAGTTTCTCAATGAGGTACCTGGACATGTTTTAGATTGATCCTACATAAAATCATGACTGGACAGGATGTCTCAGTCGTAAGAAAGTTTGTTTTGAACCCAAAGCTTTAAATGCTCTCTGCTAGTTTGGTACTTCCTCTTGGTTTTTGCTCTGCTTTTCTTTAAAAAGGAGAGTTTCCCATCAATCTCTATCATATAAACAATTCTGCATATAAATAAATATATAAATCACAAACACAATCCTCCAAGAGGAAAATTGCCTAGAAGCAGAACACATTTCTTTAAATATAGGTATCTGGAAGAGGAGTGGCAGAACCCGGGGGCAGAGTCAAAAGAGAAATCAGCCTGAGTCTCTACATACCCACAAATGGACTAAGTGCAACTCTTTTGACTTCCTTTGATCCTTATTTAAAGCCAAAACAGTGCTAACAATTACTTGAGTAGATTCCTGTGCATTGGCAAGAGTACTAATAAATAACTTTAACTGCAACTTCACATGTCGTCCTGGTCTTTTGCCTGACATTATCTTAAATGGGACATTCCAAAGACTGAAAGAAGATAGGACAGAGTACTTATTTTCCTACAGGAATGTGTTTTTCCAAAAATGATTAGTAAAGAGGATTCCATTTTGAAAAACCCTTCATCAAGAAATGTACCTGTGTGTGTGTGTGTGTGTGTGTGTGTGTGTGTGTATACACACAGATGTGCATGCATAATATATATAATGCAGAAATATGCATACAGATAGAGACACTCACAAAACATATATACAATCAAAGGGACTGTATATACAGCTATAAGTGCATCTGCACCAAAACAAGCACACATACATACAGGGCCTATTCCTCCATAGCTGTGCAAAGTCATACTTCAAATAAATTTTAGTTTAGATGTCACTGTTGGCCTTGAAAAGGCATTGTTAGCCTATCTTACTTGCTCATGCCATAATTGTTTTAAAATTTTAAATGCAATCACAGGAAACTCTTGAACTCACCAAACACCCCCCTTTACTGTCAGTTGATTAACACCTAATTAAAAAATGGATTACACTTGTTAAGTTGAGTGGGCAAGCCCTTCTTCAGAACTGTGTTGCAGCTTTTCCTTCAGTCCTGGGTTCAAAATAATGTGACACAGGAAGCATTCTAAAGCATGTCTCTTGTGTTTCGGATTGCACAACAAAGGACCATGCTGAAGACCATGCCGAAGATCTGCAAAATGAGAACATTATTTTAAAGGATGCAACATTTGTCACATAGGAACAATGCTTCAGAAAATTTGTGTGATTGTTCTTCGGAATGAATCTCTGTTCACTATACATTTTAGTTACTTCAAGATCACAGTATGATATCAAGTATTTCATAAAGTTTTTTTCTCTTTACTTTTCAGGAAAAAACAAAAACAAATCTCCAAATATCTACCTAATTCTATTTTATTACTATTATGTTCCCAGCCAGGCCCATGTGAATTATTCTGACTGGCAAATAAAACTCAGGGTGTTCTGGGTGTTCTGTGAGCTTGGTTGTTTTGTTGCAGATATTTTATTACCAAATTAAGTAACATCATCAGTGCTACTAGGGATTTTGCTTTAATGCCTGATTTAATATCCCTATCCCAGAATCTACCTGCATAGATAGATAGAGAGATAGATAGATGAATTAAATTGAACAGCTAAAAGAAGTTAAAATATATATATTTTTATTTGATTTGTCAATTGCTTACAAGATAATAGCTATAAGAATAAACATGAATATGAATACAGGAAATAGATATGAATAAATGGGGACAATAGGACAGGGACGGTAGGCACGATTGTGCACTTATGACGCCCCTTACAGACCTCTTAGGAATGGAATATGGAAAGCTTTGAAGAAAGCCCTTTTACTTTTACTTCCTAGGTCCTGCTCTTGGTTGTGTGTGAGAAATTAATATCCATATTTCCCCCCCTAAAATATGCCATTTACAGAGAAGGAGCAGGATTGCATATTTTAATTTATTATATGGCATATATTATATGGCATATATTTCAATAAAAACACAAGGGATAAAAATACAAAATATGAAAAAAGTTCTAAAATATTATATATATATATATATCTTCAGATATAATTTTTTGCTTCATTTGTCACAGCCAGAAAAACCATCAGTTTCACTATTGGTTCTATTTTGGCACTCTGACACTATGTGTTGAACAGTTTGTTGTTTGACCCCACAGTCATAATTTGATGATGGTATTGTGACTACAGTGGAAAAGGAATCTTACATCTTGCATTATTTCACAAGCAGTACTTTTCAATCTCAGCAACTTTAAGATGTGTGGACTTCATCTCCCAGAATTCCCCCAGTAAGCATGCCAGCTGAGGTCCATGCAGTGATTCTCTGTTCTCTTTAGTAATCTGCTATAATTTAAATGGCTTGGAAAGATTTCAGGTTTGTGTAAATACAATGTTGCTGTTGTTGTTGTTGTTGTTGATGATGATGATGACAACAATAGTCAATACAATCAGAATTACTTACTGTGATTCCAGCAATTGCAATCCCAACAATGCCAAGTAAATGAAGTTTTGAATTAACGAGAGTCTCTATTTCAGTCAGACAGTTCTGTTCAAGACATGACAGACATTAAAGTCTTCAATATCTACTAATATGAATTCTCAATAACCACCTCTACCTGTGGCAGATATGTTTTTAAAAATCCCACACCTTATTATCTCCTTTTCCTTTTTTCCTTTCTCTGATTCTAATGGATGCTAGAACATCCTTTCTACTCCAAATTTCTTCTATATTTTGCTAAGAATAATAATTTCAGCACTGTCCTGGGAACAGCCATCATTATTTCTGTCTGTATCCTCTCTTCCATCCTGCCTTTGCTATAGCTGCAATGCAAACCCTGAGCTGCCAAATATATGAGGAGGGATTCATTTAAAAAGTTGCACATTTCCCCAAACACATTTGAATTTGTGTAGAATTGAAATATCAGATGATGGAATGTATGTACAGAGGAGGCCCTGGGGATCAGAGGAAGGGTCATATGTGGATATAGGACCCAGATATGGATGGAATGGACACGAGAGTGAGTAATATGAATTCTGATAAAACATTTTCTCTTGTCTTGGGCAGCCTTGCTCCTTCCTATCTTCTCTTTCTCTACAGAAGGAGCGGGGTCGCAGAGTGGGGGTGCTACCTCAGACAAAGTTAAAACTGCTTTACTTTTCTCTATGGAAGGAGGGGGGGTCATGGGGAGTGGGGGAGCTACCTTGAGCTGCTCTGCAATAATAGAAAAGCGGTCGGAACTGCAGATTCTTAGCAAGGCAGAAGTTAGCACTTTAAACCACTAGCCAGGATATCAGGAACAAGAATAGTTTGCTTATAAGAAAAACCTCAAAAACCACATAGCTGGCCCATGAAACTAGGCCACTTTGCAAGATATCTGTGACCTGGGGTGAAACACAGGTGATGCGACATTTAGCTATGTTGGAGGCTGAGATCCAAATAACCAATCAATATTATCTGTTATGCATGCAATATTAGGGGAAGGGCAAAGGGCTGAATGTGACCACCCCTTGACTATAAAAATTGCTGTAAGATTCTCATCGAGGCCCTTGGTTAGCTTTTGAGCCAGGGTCCTTATATCTTGGTACCAAAATAAAAGTATATTGTATCACACCTTGTGTCCGGTGACTTATCAGCTTCGAAACCAAGCAAGAGCCCAGTTTTGGGGTCAACAGAATCATAAATACTTAGCAGTTTTGTGGCCCTCATGTCATATATAATTTCATTAAATATATAGTCTTTATTTAAATCAATGCAGTTTGTAAAAACTATATCCAAAAGTTGGTTTAATATAAGGAATTTTTTCCCAATGAAAAAGGATTGATAACATGTATATACAAAGATGGAAAAATACTGAAATCCCCACAAAGGAAGGATGGTTTAGAAAGATGGAATTTGTGGAAATTGCAAAATTGACCTGTTTGATCAGTGATAAGATAATACTTTTAGTAAAGATTGGAAACCTCTTATGCACTTTTTACTGAAAATGAAAAAAAAAGAACTGGTGATTTATTGATTTGTTGAAAATGGTTGAATATGGGACAAAGGGACAATGAACTAATTTAATGAGGGAGGAAAGATAATAAGTTTGTTTGTCACTGCTGTAAAGAAAATCAGAAATAATTTCTTTATATATATTTTTATTTGTATTTATTTTCACACTTTTTGTATATTTTTTATTTTAAAAAATCTTACTGTTTATTGTTTTTTATACTGTTGTAAAATCTTTATTTTTTTTTTAAATGGTTCATAACAAGATGGCTTTTGTTTAATTTTGCTGCTGTTCCTCTTATCAACACAGCAAAGCAGCCTTGAATCATTGGAATAGTTGTATACATGGGCATCTGCAAAATACTGTATGATGCTTTTATCAGAATGACATAACTATCACAATGTCAGGGTGTAAGTTGTGCCTCTTACGTTCTCAGTGCAAACTTCCACATTTGCCTTCCCTGCAGATGCCTGCAAATTCATTCTCTTCCTTCCCTGGATTTCTGCCTCTCTAATTATACAGTGCAATCTCCAGGTCTCCACAAAGAGTCAGTTTATTAATAAAAACACTGGAATACAGAATTGCACCGCATCACAAAGTAGTGTGGAGAAGCTATTTTTTCAGGCAGGAAAATTGCTGAAGAGGAACTGAACTATATAGCATACATTATCTATGACAGTCACATAACTTAATTCTATTTTCATTGAAAATAAAATTAGACTGTCAACTGTATGTTTGTCTGGTTTATCTTGTCTGAACTAGTATGAAAGTTCACATAACCAAAATTCAGTTCATAATAATTCTATTTGGCCCCAGCTCGAACTGGTCTCTAAGAAAAGGTCAGCCGGAAATTTTGGCTCAGGAGTGGAAACCAGATTAAGCTAAACCTCTCAGGAAGTCACTCAGTAAGGATGAAGGAATCAACAAGGTCTTTTAATCCAGCAAGCTGCATGAATAATGTAGGCATCCTTGCATGGACAGGTAGTGCTTGATTTACAATAGTTCATTTAGTGACCATTCGAAGTTACAATGGCATTGGAAAAATTGAAAAAAAAAATGACCTCATAATCATGTGATCAAAATTCAGACACTTGGCAACTGACTCATATTTATGATGTTTGCAGTGTCCTGAGGTCATGTGATCATCTTTTGTGATCTTCTGACAAGCAAAGTCAATGCGGAAACCAGATTTACTTCACAAGTGTGTTACTAATTTAACAACTGCAGTGATTCACTTAACATCTGTGGCAGGAAAGGTTGTAACATGGACCTTAACCACTGTCTCACTTATTAACAGAAATGTTGGGCTCAGTTGTGGTTGCAAGTCAAGCACTACTGTACATGGTTCGTATTAACTGAACAATAGAATGTATGTAATTATTTTCTTTAAAAAAAAATTAAACTGCAAACTATATATATGATCACACTGGGGACGTTAACCTTTTCTTCTGCATTATGAACTTGATAACTCTGCTAAGGTTTTTCATTTTATGGAAACCAGGGAATGGTAATAACCAGTTTTGACATCCCAGAAGAGTTGCAAGCAAATCAGAAGGGCCGAAGAAGCAAGTGGGCTGCAATAAATACTGCTTGTTTTATTTTGCAGTCTTCTCCAGATATATGAATGTGTGTATAATTGGCAAAGCAAACAAATTGCTTAAAAGTCATCTTGCTGGCATGTTACTGTGGTGCCAAATGGCTCCTGTTCAGATCTCCTCTGGCTCTGGGGATGATATTCGTACCATGTCTTATCCCATTCCTAGGCTATTTTTGACTTCACTGTCAGAATGACATGACACAACAGAGACACTTACTTTAGACGACCCAATATCTTTTGGACAGGTGGGTTTCACTTGAACGTCACTGTCTTTCCCACAGCATTGTAGCTGGAGGGAGAGAGAGAATATATTACAAATATTCCCAAAATAATCATTTTCAAATGATCCAGAAAACCCAAATATGTTTACCCCAATTATATTATTCTGAATTCATACTTATTGCAAAGTATAACATGTACTAATAAGTTCAATTTATGGATGCAAAGGAACTAACTTCAGTTCAAACATGTCTGTGTGATTATGGATATTAAAGCTGCCTAGGTCTGGATATATTCCATCTTTAACTTTGGAGAGGATAGCAATTCTCCATTCAAGAGCTCTGTGCAATTCAGGGGATCCTTCAGGACTCATATCTCCTACCTGTTGAGTAAGTGGTGGCTGTGGCCAGGAAAAGTGGTGGCTGTGGCCTTTGCACAGCTTTATCTGGGGTGGTAGTTGTGTCCTTTCCAGGAATAGGAGGTCATTTCAACAATCATATGCCCCAGTTATCCCATGGCTTGATTTCTATGACGAACTGTATATGAGGCTGCCCTTAAAATGCACTTGGAAGCTTTAACAAATCCAGCATGCAGCAAATGCCCTCTAGATTTCTATTGGTATTGTGAACATTTATTTGCTTCCCCATAAGGCCATAGATTTTTAAAAGCAAGCTGATAAGAATCCCCCTTCAATCCCCCTGCTTCCAGTTCTTTCTCATTTCTGATGTAGCTGTCTCAAGAGGGACATCTCTTCCTTTTAAAAAACCTTTGCTAATTTGAGGTTCAGTCAGTCCTGGAAGGGTTTGAAGCACGAGCTACCAGCATCTTGTATAAACTATTGGTAGCCAACAGAGAAATGGTATGTATAAACAATCAACATTTTTTCAAAGTACAGGGATGACCTTCAACACAAGCCTGCCCAGGAAATGAGCTATACACTAACCAATGTAATAGAGGAACATTAAGCATTGCCTGTGATTAAGGATGGGGCTCCCAACAGCTGAAGGAACATGAATTTATGTATTCACATTCGTCTTTTGAATGTTATTGTTTCTTGGTTTTTTGCTTTATCTGTGAATATATCATGTATATTAAACTTTGCAGTTAAAGTTATTCTTTTGGTCTATTTTATAAAAAAATAAAATAAAAAACCCCACCTCAGCTTCTATCTCATTTGTGGGTCTGTCATTTTTGAATCCATTAACCTGTTGTCTATATATTGCTGTGGCAAAGCAACATGCTATTTTAAATTGTATGGCACTGAAAATAAAGGAATTGGTGTTTCTAACTGAATATTAGCTGCTGAGTGGCAGTCCAATATTATGCAGTAGAATCAGGTTGGATTGGATTAAGTTCAGTTTCTAATAAAGTCTCTTAAGAACTCAAGCTCAGCCAAGCATACAAAAGAAATAAACTGTGGGCTCTCTTGGGCCTTCCCTAAGTCTTGCCCTCTGCCATGGATTTACTAATTTACCACAAATAACTAAGAAGGATCAGTAAATGGTCACATGTGTGATAAGAGGTTATTTTAAACTTGGTGTTATAGCTGCTTCTGTGGTTAACAAGACTGAAAAACCTACCAAGGGAATGAGGCATAGATCAACTGACCAATGATTCACTGGGTGTAAAGAAAGAGGATTCCAGATTTCACCTGCACAACAATAACCTGTGAGGTGGCTTTTGCTGAGTGTGTGTTACTGGTCCTTAGTTTCTATGCTGAGGAAGGCCTTGAACCCCAATTAACCTACTATTCCTAGAGCCACATAACTACCAAACTATACTGGCTCTCATATAGGTGGGTGCATATGCGCTTAGTATACAGTAACCGTAAGGTAACAATATGGATAAAAATAAGCATTTAAGCCCTCTTTTAATTATAAGGAAGACAGCTCAACTCCAAATCTAAATGTGGAAGCAAATTTGTTGTGGTGTTGTTTGTCTATTTTTTTTTTTTTTTTAAAAATCTTTATACAAACTGGGGGATAGGCTATTGCACGCACTGAAGTGAATTTGTAATACTTAGCAACACTCTGGGTAGAAACTTCAGAGAAACGTTTTCCACTTTCCCTCTCAATCAGAGTGTTTGGCAGACAGTATCTAGCAGTTCTCCACAGAAGGGAGAGAGCATTTGGGTTTCTTTTCTTTTCTAACAACTGCGAGCAACAGACCTCGCTTTGGAAAACATTGATCTAGGCCCTGCTAAGGAAAAAGTAAACTTAGCAACTGATGCCAGAAATACACATGGCAGCGCTTTATCTCACCATAATCATGAATAAAACAGACTATATGGGTATAGATAGTCTTGCAAAAACCATGAGAGTTATAATAAAGATTTGTTTTAAGGAATGGTGATGGAAATCGTTTTATATATGCTACTTTGACTTTGAGGATGATTATAATAAATAAATATAGCCTCTGTGCCAAGACTCTCACTATGCCTTCCTGCTAATGATGCCCACAGTGCTTCCAAGATATCACATGTGATTTAATAAAACTTCAATGTTTTACTAAGGTCTTCTAGAGGGAATTTCCATATTTAGGAAGTTTTAGAAAGATGTGTGTGCCAAGCCTGGAGATGTTGCTGACCATTATAGTAAGTTAAGAATCCACAGAAAGGACTGAGAAATTGGGTGCCACATTGAATCTTCCTTGATTTCAATACAAATAAAAACTCCAGAAGAAGGAGAAACACAAGCGTTAGGCAAACTGAATCATTGGATTGATTGTCCAATCATGGGTATTCTGAAACCATCCAAATGCAATATTGGTGAGCAAAATTTCTGAATTCATTTTACTCACCGCATCATGAAATTTGATGAGTGTTTTGTTTTTGCTTTGATCACTGATGTAGTTTTCATAAGCTTTCTCATAGATGGCTTGGACTTCGTTGACAGCCTGCAGAAATAACAACCACAACAAGCAGACATCCTAATTAGATATGAAGGATTGTGAAGAAACCAGCAGAATTTCAGTAACAGGAAACTCATAGCTTTCCTCCAGTCCTCTTGTTCTTTTACCACTTGAGAATGTGGTAGCAACAAAGAGGGCTGAAGTCAACCTTAAGGTAGAAAGATTTAGCTATTTACAGAAATAGAAGATTGAACCCACAGCAATTTGGAAGAACAAGAAAGCAAGCTCTAGGCTTTGGCCCATGACTAATGGATGGGCCATGGCTGACAGGGTACAAAAGGAAATTTGGGCAAATTTCTGGGCAAGTTGAGCAATAAAAAACATTACCACACTAGAATATGAAGTTAGGAAATATCAGATATGTAAATTAGCCTAGGACAGTGATGGCTAACCTATGACACGCGTGTCACTCGTGACACGCCGAGGCACTTTGACTGACATACCTGTTGGTGTGGGGAAAACCTGCACATTTAGAGGCTGCCTGTGCTCTGCTCCAATCCCTGCTCCCTGCTTGTTGCGTGGAGGTGTGGTGTCACCGCTGCCGCAAGATCTTTGCAGCAGAGAACCAGTTTTAACCGCCATAAACTGAGGTTTGTCAGTTTCATTACCTCAGGAATGCTACAGGAGGAAAGGAGATCAATGAGGTTCACAGCCCTGTAAGGTGGCCTTCCGATCCCCACATCCTGCACCTGCAGCCCTGAGACCAGGGAGACGAGTTTCACAGCCCTGTGTGATCACCCCAGCCCAGTCCGTCATAAACCAAATTATTGATATTTCTTGAAGTGACACACGACCCGAGGAAGGCTACACTTTTCCCCGATTTTCGACACACCAAGCTGAAAAGGTTAGCCATCACTGGCCTAGGAAGTAAAGGAAAATGTTCTCCAAAGAAAGCAATAAAAACTCTTTCTGTATATTTGTCAAGACACACCCATGAAATCACTAGGGGTTGTGCTTAATTTTAAAGTGATTTTACTCTTTTAAACTATTTTTCAGTTTAAGATATTTAAGGTAGCACACATTAAGCATTTCACTTACCGTTTTTTTCCCCAGAAAAGAAAAAACCCCTGCAGCGATTTCAGCAGCAAAAATCACCAACAAGCAAGTAAAAAACTACAAAAGAATGAAGTTAAGATTACAGATTAAATTTTTATGGATATTTGAATGCAACATGTAAATCCATTCTCTGACAATTAGAAATAGCCATTTTAATAACAGAAATACTTCACATAGGACAAGATTAATGATGCAAAAGGTAAGGTTCTAGTTCAACTTTCCTTAAATCAGAATAATTTCACACTTTAAGGAAAGGATGGGATAAAAAATATAAAAGAAGTATTTCTAACACTGCAACATATCCAAAGCCTTTGCAATAAAATTCTGTTTATGCTTTGCTCAAGTGGTAAATCTCACAACATTGAAAGAGGCTGCATTCTAATAAATAAATACAGAATTGCAAATTAATGCTTCATGAATTCTTAGATAGAAATATGTCCTGTCTAGGACTTAAGGATCATTAAGGGTAGATAATAAAGGAACCTCCAAGTTACTGTATTTATACAAAAGTTTTACATGACCTACCTTCCTCTTCCTTCTAATGTACAGCAGGCTGATTTCAATATAGGTGTCCTGGCTTAATAAATTGTAATTTATTTAGCTGGATATGATGTTAGATCGACCCACTCTTTTTAAAGTCTCCTTTCCTTCTATGCCAGCTTTGATCTGTTCTCTGTTATGTCAGAAATAGTTCTATTTTTAATACCAGTCTGCTAACTGCTATCTTAATTCACAGTTTGATATTTGAATTTAAAAACAGACTTCCTTATTTTGGACTTAGAATAAAGCAAAATACAAAGACTTTAGCAAAGGGATTTTAATTAATGTTTGACTTAATGATTTTGTATTTGAGAGAGGCCTCATATCACCTTAGTCTACATGTCCATTACTTACTGCTCCAAGCAGGCACTGAGACTCTCGTGCTGCTCCACAGCATCCAAAAAATCCTACTGCCATCATCAGCACTCCTGCTCCTATCAGTACATACAGTCCTGCAAGGAAAGACAGAATTATCATATTATTTACAAACTCCCATGTGTTAGTTGGGAATAAGATAGCGCTTTTGTCGCCATGGAGACCCACAAGTCCTGGTTTCTTGTAAAGAAATCATTCTGAGCTACCCAGTTACACTGACCACCAGGAAGCACGATGTGACCAGTTTCCTCCTTTACTGGGACTTTTCAGATGCAGTTGCCAAATTCTATGGGGTTCAAACCCTCTACTGGCAACTGAATGCATCAACCTTTAGATCAGGGTTCTCTAACCTTGGCAACTTTAAGCCTGAAGGACTTAAACTCCTAGCATTCCCCAGCCAACTGACTGGGGAATCTTGGGAGTTGAAGTCCACCAGGCTTAAAGTTGCCAAGGTTGGAGACTCCTGCTTTAGATAACTACATGCAGTTCATTGGCTTTAGGAGCAACTCACATCCTGTTGCTCAGTGATAGCAAGAGGCAATATCTAGAAGTTGTCAAGATGTATATCTAATCCAACTATCTGGAACAGAGAAATACATTAAATATTACATTTAATGTAATATTTGTATCTAAAACCATTATCATTCTCAGCCAACAGAACTTTAACAAGTTCCTCATTTACAACTGATCATAGTTACAACGGTAATGAAAAAATAATTTTACAAATAATTCTTGCAGGTATGACCTTTGCAAGTCTATAAAAGCTGAAGGAAAGCTGAGGTAAAATCATAAGAACAATCCAGATTTCACTTGCTGACTATTTTGCTTAACAAACAAGTGGCCAGCTCCAAGTGTGGTTACTAAAGAACTGCCTTGATATATATTTAAATGTATTCACAACCATGACAGACAGCCTTTCCCATCACTTGAGTAGTTAAAAAAATTACAAGAGCACATTATAATATTCTAGATCAGTAGCGCTGTTGGTTTTTTATTAAATAATTTTTGTAGCAACAGTGGTATCTTAACTCCCTTTCTCTCCTGAAATAGCTGAACAGAAAACAATAAAACCATTCTCAGCAGCAGGGCTTGGTGAAATAAGAAGGAAAGTAAAGATTTGATAGATAGTAAGAATCTTTTTATTACAACCAAACAGTTTTAAATAACTTTTTAAAATTCCAGAATTACAGACACAAGAGTTGGATGAATGATTTCTCCAAGCAAAGACATTTTCCGATAATTTCTTAAGGAGGACCCCCGTTGTCCCGTTCAATCAACACTACGATTGAAATTTGAAAAATCCAGTGGAAGCCCAGTGTCTTCCTAATGTCTTGTTTTGGGATTTAATCGAAGCATGGAGAGCTAGGGAAGAACAGGTCAGTGAAAGACAGGGCACCCAGGCATGCCTCTAAGCTACCTTCTTAACTGAACAATTCAAGACCACCACTCTGCATCCTTAAAATTTCTCTGTATTGTTCTTTCCTGCAACTCAAGAAAATATGGCTATGAAGAAAATATGTCTGCTTCAAATTCCTGCTGACTAATATATAAAATATAGCTAAGAAGAACCCACTGAATTATTTTCATAGTTCTGGCTTCCATCTTTACAATTTATTTAATGCTCTCACTTGAGTAGAACTATAGATCTTAATTTTTTCCTTCAGCTTCTTTTACCAAATATTGTTCTTTAGACCATTCAAATATATTTTCTCAAAAAGAGAATAAAAACATAGTGCAGAATTTTAAGAAAACAAAACGGGTGAAGAAAATGTTCAGGAATGTTTTTACAAATATTTTAGTTCAACCTACAAATAGGAACAAATGTCAGTATTCTGCCATTTAGAAAGGAAGTGAAGTCTTCTATGTGAAATTAATTAAAACATTTTTAATTCTGCAATGTGTCCCCATAGTTAGTTCTTGCCAATTTATTGTATTGTTGTATACCACCCAGAACTTATTTGTGAGATGGGCAGTAATAAATTAATTAATCACTCTTTAGAGACAAAAAATCTGACAAGTTGTGAGGAAAAAAAGATAAAAAGTGAAACATTCAAGATAATTCAGAGACTACATAAATTAGATAAAGGCTCAAAATCTGTCTTGCAATAAAAAGTTAGCAAAATTATTCTGAATAGAGTATGTGGTTCCCTCTAGATATATTCTGAATAATCAAAGTGAGTTAATGAATAGGCCCCAAATACTTTTCCTAATAAGCAACATCTTAGTACTAAATATTTCTGAAGCATAAAAGTAAAGCAAGCATTAAGGACTTGCAGGAATACAATTTATGGTCTTGGAAATGAATGATTAATAATTAACTCATTTGAAATGAACATCTCCATCCACAATTTTAGGAATTGAATGGTTCAGCAACTTGATTTAGGATATACAATAATTATTTTTCAAAATCACATAACTTTGTGAAAAAATGCTGCTGTTAAGTAAATGACAAACCATGTTTTCACTAATCAAATTTCTAAGAGATAATTTCAACTTTCAATTTGCAATTATGCTGAATATCACTGCACTTACTTGTTCAAAAGGGACATGTGGTATTTTCCTCCTGTTAATCACATTGAATGGAAATATGATGACTGAGCCGATTTGGGAGTATACAGATTGAAAGGTGGGTGCTTAATCTGAAAATACCTTTTGTGGTTGGAGGTGAAATAGATGCAAGGCTCCATTGTTCCACAAGAGGGTGCAATTTACTAACTCTTTAAGAGGTTATTTTCATGATTTTTTTAAAAATTATAAATGAATTTGTTAAAATTATGTCATTCTTTCAAGGACTAAACTTGTTGCTGTTACACAGAGAATTTATTTTGATCCTTCAAAATAAGTTTTCTATCTACCTACATTATGCATCAATTAAATAAAATTACTCTGAAAATGTAATGTAGAGAACTTTATGCTTACAACCTGAGTTTTGAAGTCACCTTAAAGCATACGCTTACTCTATTAGATTCTTTGGTCTATGTATACCTTGTTATTTTCCAAAAACTTCTGATCTTTACAGAATGAACCATTTTTCAAGACGTTTTTACCTCTTATCCTCTTTTCCTCTTAATTACTCTGTAGAATCAATGGCACAAACTTCTTTTTAATCACATGCTCTCTCTAATTACCAGAGACAAAACCATGATATATGAATAATTTGAATGAATAATTCGACCAGATTTTAAAAAATAATAATATTTAGTTATTTAAAATATGATGAATCTTGGACAAGGATCATGGGAGCTATTAATGAAGGTAATAGGTATTTTTGTGCAGGCATTATAACAGTCATGCTCACAAAGAATGTATTTTAAAATATACTCTGCTTTTTGCATTCTGTAAACCAGGGAGCCCAAGATGACTCCCTTATCAGCAATTTCATTTGAATCCAATTAATTCTTGAAAGCCAGCTATGGAGCATGGCATTCCTTATATGGAAGAGAGGTTCAGCTTGAACAATCTTGCTCCTCGGCCCTTCACTGTGGCCTCTTAGAATACATAAGCTCACCATCTGTGGTTTAAACACACTGTAAATGATAAAAACAAAATGTATGGGTCCAAAATGACTTTATCTTGTTTGAGTAATTCTCTCATTCATATTTTCCAGATGATGTCACCATGAATGAAGGGAGGGATGCAACTCAGTACCAGGCTCTATTAGAACTTTGCAAGGCAGGGTCAAACCTGTTCAAGAGTGCTAATTTGCCATTTCCCGCCCCATTTTCTGGAGGCAGCCCTCCATAGAGCATCAAACCCCTGCATGCCATTTGTCAGAAATGGTGTAGGGTCTCCTGCTTGGGTGGGTGGGTGGGTGGGTGGGGGGGTTGGACTAGATGGCCTACAAGGTCCCTTCCAACTCTGTTAATCTAATCTAATCTAATCTAATCTCCCTGATTCCTCCTAATTTCTTATGTGTCTTTTCTTCCAGGAGAGAATGGGGCGAATGAGATTCCTATTGCTTCCTGTTAGCAAGCCTTAAGAGAAAGCTTTACCTAAAGAGGACAGTTTGGCTTAGTGACTTGTACCAATGAAATGCCAACAGCTCCACCATTGAATGTCAGCCTGGTAACTAAAACTCTGAGTGGACAGAGTGGACAGAGCAGGCTATCCTGCATTAAAACATCACTCAAGGGAAGAAAAGAACCCCTGACTGTAGGGAAACCAAGGTAAGGCCAAGAGGTTTGCAGGGGCTGCCCTGAGCAAGGAGAACAACATAGGCCATTGAGCAATTAAGTGCTATACTTTCTGTTCAATGTTTCATAGATTTAATGAGCTAGAAACTATTTTCTTGAGCAGCTACCTTTTCTTGAGCAGTACACAATCAATACAAATTATTTGATGCATGAGAATAACATTATTTGTATTTAATAAGTTTAATTATATTCAGATTTTAATTTAATCTAAATAGAATTAAATTTAATTTTTCATTTGCCCATTTCCTCATTTTTTTTGTCCTGGTTAAATCTTGCTTGAATATTTGTGGCTCCTTTCATTCTATTCAAGAGCTGAATGTCTCTAAGTAGGTCGCTATGGTGAAGATGCATACCCTCTGTGTGATAACATCCTTAGAAGAGCCTCTGCAGTCAAATAAAGTTGCCTCATGACATGACCATCTCAGCTCTATTTTTTTCCTCAAAAATTGCCAAAAAAAGGGGGGCCGGGGGGGGGCTTTATTTCTTCTTATTTGAGGTCAAAGCTTTTTCCCCTTTGATTTGCTCTTAGCAATAAGAGAGTCCCATCTGAGTATGGCAGAGACATCAGTTGCCTTGCAACAAGGCTAAACATCTAGCAAGAAAGAAAAAGAGTACTTTGTATGATGATTGAAGATGAAGACTGTCTTTGTCTCAAGTGGTGAATGCAGGATTCCATCTCACTGCACTGCATATGGGTTGGTTAGAGAGGACTCTGCATTTGCGCAGAGTGTGTAGCATTGTTGGTGACATGAACTACTACATTACAGAGAGAAAAGCTGGGCTTTCTTTGTTTCTTCTCTGCTTCAGAGCCCTGTCTCTAAGGTGACATGCAAACTTTCAGCTAGTGTTTCCACACATAATTAACCTCAGAGGAAGTTTCCTTG